TAAAGCATCCACCTTATCGGTCCGCTAAATAATTAAATACAAATATCAGTAAATAAACAGACATGATATTTAAACAGTGAAAACAAAGACAAATATGTTTCAAACTTGTATTGAATTCACCCAAGTCATTATTCTATCATAGTTCACAAAATGCATCAAATAACAAAGACAAATATGTTTCAAACTTGCAACACTGTCAACTTAGTATTTGTCTTTGTCTATTGGTTGAAGTAATGCAATTCATTCAAGTTTCAATTTTCAGAAGAAGAATAGTTTCAATTGGCAGCAAACGAACAAATTTACTTTCAACCAAAAGACAAAACAAAGACAAATACTAACTTCACAGTGTTAAAGAATACACAGTTTAGCAGAATCGGCAGCAACCGAACAAATTTACTTTCAACCAAAAGACAAAAGAAAGACAAATACTAACTTCACAGTGTTAAAGAATACACAGTTTAGCAGAATTGGCAGCAACCGAATAAATTTACTTCAACCAAAAGACAAAACAAAAGACAAATACTAACTTTATAGTGTTAATAAACAGTTTAGCAGTATTGGCAGCAATCAAATAAATTTACTAAGCAATCTAAGTGAAATGGTTAATCTAAGTGAAATTACGAGTAAATTTATCATCAAGTTAAATATGGAAAATCTTAAACTTACCTCGTTGCGTAGAGTATGAACCTCATTCTGCAACGATACTACCATCTCACGTAGAGCGGCAACCTCACCACGTAAAGTAGACACCTCCATACGCCATGCACCATCGTTATCGCGTAGAGTACCGATCTCCTCACGCAAGGCATTGACCTCATCACGTAACTCCCTTGACTCATCCCGTGGAGGTGGAGGTGGAGAACAGGGAGATAGAAGTCGTGACATCTTTGTCGGTCGCCTATCATGAGGTGATGGTGGAGAAGAGGCTCAATGATGTGACGGGATAGGTGTCTCGTTGTAGAGGTGTATAGTCGGGTCGATCAGGTGATGGCTCTGGGTGAGGTGATGGCTCTCGAAGTGGAGGCTGCTCATCATTCGTGCCATCAAGAAAACGCTGACTAGCTTGCCACCAATCAGTGGCAAGCTTAGCCTCCGTGGGTGTCAGTCTCATTAATGGAGTGTTGGCCTCCTAAAAATATAAAAACTCAAACAAAGTTAAACGTCTACTATTAATAACTTGTTTATATATGATAGTATTTGTGTTAACTTACATTATTTATTGTCGCATATGGTATTAAGTCTTCCCAATCCAAAAGACGTTTCCTCTTCCAGGAAATAGCCCTAGGAATAATATTTGAGGTTTTTAATGCATATGTCCGCATGCTGGGGAAAGCCTCGAATATTCAAATCTACAAACAATATAATAACAAACATTAGTAATTGTTAAATAATTAATTATAATTTTGAAAACATTATATAGAAATTCTTACCTTAAAGGCCCAAACAAAGCCTGACAAAGTGTATTTCAATCCATCTCCCCGCAAACTTTTGCGGTCATCAAAGGCAGACGACAACTTAGTCCAGGTAGCTTTCCATATATACGAACCCCACGGAAACAGATTCCATGCATTTAGGTCCTCTACCAATAATATTAGCTCCTGAGGAATAGGTTGTCTGGTCTCTCTGCCTAAAAGTCGGCATACAAAAGTAGTAGAAGGTATACTCGGACAACATCGACGTCATTCATCCGAGTAAAACCATCTTTCTTATTAAACAATTTCTTCATGTCGTCGACGTGTAAGTTCGCCTTCTCTATTGACTCATCAGGAAAAACCCTGGATAACCATGATGGGCGGGTGATATGACGAGTATACCGGCCTACATCATCGTGTCCGAATCGTAGACCAGTGATTAAGCAGAACTCCTTCCGCCCAAAACAAGTATACGCCGGTGGAAAATGAAACCATATCTCTTCCTCACCACGTTGTATACTGTCGGGTAGATCGCTAGTCATGGTCTGAAGCCACAAATGGGTCAAATTAGCATCTCCACCCGGATGTTGTACTCTCAGCCATGGCCCGAAGCAGGTTTCCTCAAACAAATTTCTTTGTGCAGGTGAAAGCTTCGAAGCAATTGTAGTGGCTAGGCTAACTTTATTCCTTAATGTCAATGAAGCCGAAAAAATTTTCTACAAAAACAATAAACATACCAAGTTAGATATACGAAAAACTACACTGTGAAGATATACCAAAAACAATAAACATAAATAGTAGTTTATTCTTGAAACTAAAATTTGCAACACTGTTTTGTCTTTTGGTTGAAATGAAAATCGCAACGAGAGAATGAAAATCGCAACGCGGAAATGACTATCGCAACGAGAGAATCGCAACGCGAAATGAAAATCGCAACGAGAGAATCGCAACGCGTTGCGATTATCTCGTTGCGATAGTCATTTCCGCGTTGTGATTTTCATTCTCGAAACTATTCTTCTTCTGCATTACTTCAACCAAAAGACAAAACAAAGACAAATACTAACTTCACAGGGTTAAATACTAAACAGTTTAGCAGTATTGGCAGCAATCAAATGAATTTAATAAGAAATCTAAGTGAAATGGTTAATCTATTATTGAAATTACCAGTAAACTTATTATCAAATTCAATATGAAAAACCTAAAATAATGCAAAATTTCAAAATAAAAATAATTAAAAAAACTAACCCTCGGAGGTTGATTTTCTATTTCTGAATGATTGTGAGGGATTTCTGACCGTGAATGGTTATGAGGGATTTCGCTGGCGATGGGGACGGAAATCTTCGGAGATGGGGACGGATTTTGCCGTAGAGAGTGAGAGATGGAGATGGGACTGAGTGTTGTGATTTTAGGTTTGAGGTTATAATTTGCGATTACTGTGGACGGTTCAGTTTCCGATATATTAAGAAAAAATTCGTGTTTGGAATTTGAAAAAAAAAAATACGCGTTAATACGAATGGCGCTATGTAAATCGCATTGCGATAGTCAGATTTGCATTGCGATTTACGTATTCGCATTGCGATTTTCCTAATTCGCATTGCGATTTACTTAATCGCGTTGCGATTTACGTATTCGCATTGCGAATTATGAAAATCGCAACGCGAATACGTAAATCGCAATGCGAATTAGGAAAATTGCATTGCGATAGTCAGTATCGCATTGCGATTTTTCAAATTTGCATTGCGATTTACTAATTCGCATTGCGAATTGGGAAAATCGCAACGCGAAATTGGAAAATCGCATTGCGATAGTAATAATCGCGTTGCGAATCTAGAAACTGATTTGCGATAATGGAGATCGCGTTGCGAATTAGCGATCGCATTGCGATTTTGTTGGTCATTTTGGCAAATCCGAAAAAAGTTGGTTAAAATCGTATATTATATGGGATTTTTTGTTACTGAGGTTATTTTCTCTTAATTAATTTCTAAGTCAAATGACTGTTTTGCCCTTCACTTCATTTAATAATTACTAATAACTTTCAAGAAATATCTCCACATAAATCATTGAACTATTCAACTATTCTACTTTTATCACCAAATTCTGAAATTTTCCAATTTAGTCACTAACCAGGTATTGAGGATGTTACAAAAAATATTGAATTATTCGAGTTATTCTAATTATATTTTATAATTGATTTGAGCTTGAAATTTTCGAGTAGAGTCGAGTTTATGAAATTACAACTCGAAATCAATTTGTGTCAAGTTTTTTCGAGCTGAGTCAAGTTTTGCTCTCCCCCTACACCAATGATCAAACAAAGATTTGGTAACCAATCGAATTAATCGAACAAAGTTCGGTTCGGTTAATATTTTCAACAACAAAAAATTCAATTCGGTTAACAGTTAAGGAAAAAAATTCAGTTAATAGTAATTCGGTTTTGATAAATTAACCGTTTGAACACTCTTAGATAATGTGATTTTTCGATTTCATCCAAAATGCAAAATGATACGGATGACACATCTTTGTTTTGCGGATGTCTCGTCTTTGCCAAAGGGTCGTTGGATTCTATGTTGGGAATGTGCGAGAGCAGTTTTATAGAATATCGAGTTTGAATATTAATGCAGCCAAATGCGAGCTACTTGCATGTGGTGCTCCAGGGAATGAGTTGGTAAGATTCAAGAGAGATTGGGGTTTAAGATTGGAACCTTATTGGTTCGTTACTTAGGGGTGCCATTGATTACTCGGAAACTATCCGAAAAGGACTGTCAGTTTGTTGGAATGCATTGAGAGGTGATAGGGGCATTGGACGAACAGTAAGCTTAACTATGTTGGGAGTAGGCAGCTGATTCAGTCCGTTTTGTTTAGCATCGCAAACTCTTGGAGTTGGCAGCTTGTTATTCCTAAGATCGTTGTTAGGAGGATTGGATAATTATGCATGAGATTTTTTGGAAAGGCGCAGACACCCCTATAATTGGGGCTAGAGTAAGTTGGAGTCAGATCTATACTCTCGAGTCCGATGAGGGGTTGGGGCTCAAGAACCTTGCTTGTTGGAACATAGCTTGTTTAATTCAATTATTGAGAAAACTCTTTGCAAATGAGGAGTCTTTGTGGGTAGCTTGGGTTAGGGCGTATGTAATAAATGGGGAGGACATTTGGAGGTTACAACCTAAGAAATGTTTTAGTTTAAGGGAATCCTCTCCCTTAGAGGTGTTGCACGAGAACTGATGGTGGTTATTGGGATTGATCTGAGTCATTTGAAAATGAAATGGATTTGGTATGAGACATGGATTTAGACACAAATTTGTATAGAGTGGCGGACTGGGGTTGATTTATTTGTTACTCTTTGTGATTTCGTGGCAGCTTACTTGCTGGCTTCCTGCTTCTTTTGAATATAATACATACATTTTAACAATAAAAAAAGATCAACCCTGAATTTTCAAGACATTTACAGCTATAACAACAAAGTGTTTGGCAGAGAAGGGGAGGGTATCGTGAGACTTGGAGCTTCGAGTTCATTGATGGAAGCCAATACGAAACATGGAAGAGCTCATGTATACCCGCATCGAACGCTTCTACTCAAATATAGAAATGGGATAGGAAAAGTTATACAAATTATTAGCTTGTCAAAAATTGGACAAATGTCAATATCAAAATCACACAAACTGTCGGGTCTTGTTGCTTGTATGTCAATCCACTAAACAATGCTCAAGAATTCCAAAATTTTATGTTTATATAAATTTGATGACGTAATTCGGGGAAAACTAGCTTCACAAGTTTTCCTTATAGCTTCATCTCTTTCTCTTCCTACTACCTTTACCCAATTGTCCAGATTTGAAGGCGTGTTCTTGGTCTTGGAGAAAAGCTATGGCCTTTCCATAGTTTGCTGCTCTTTCCTGTTCCAGTAATTCCTTGGCTCTTTGTTTTGCTTCGTATAAGAAATGGTTATCCTTACGCAACTCTCGAGCTGCACCTTTTGCTTCGCGTTTTATCAGTTTTTGTAACTTTTTTCTCTCAGCTCGTTCTCGATCAGGATCGTAGTCTCTACCTTTAACAAAGCTGCAGTGTAACATGGCAAATAAGACCATTACTCGCAGTCTCTCAACCAGACTCAAGATAGCACCAATGTATACGAGGCTGTAAAATTAAAAATTTGACATTAGAGACGAAAAATGCGGCTTACTTCTCCTCAAATTTTGGATTAACTAATTTGATAGGCAATGGCTTCTGCTTGCGCAGCTGAAGTGGTCTACGCAGCGTTTGAGTTTCCCCGGCTTTCTTCTTAATGAGTTGAGAAACATCATTAAATCTATCTTTCAATGCATCTGGCATGAGTTTCTGCTGTGAAACTTCTTGTAGCAATGTTGCAATCGGCAAGAATATTTCAGGGAAGGAACTCAACCCGTCATAGATCTCAACAAATCCTCGCAAAGTTTCAATAACAGTTACCAGTGCACTAGCCCTGAACATGAAATTTTATTTGTTATTTGATTCTATCAAAAACCCCGACAAAAGCAAATTTCCACACAATACAGCAGAATTAATGAAACGGGAAAAGAAAACAACAAATTGTGGTAATCTCATTATCATTCATCAAAACAAAAAAGAAAAACAGCATTGATTGCAGACCTGAAACTATCCGAGCTGAAAAATGGAGAGTCATCAGACATTTCCATTACCATGAGCAAATTCAGAGGATTAATATCATCCACACCATCATGGATGCATAACAGGGGCCTGAGTGTTTTCAGCTCCATAAGATGATAAAACTGATAACAAAGAAATCCACATAAATAGAACTTAGTCCAATAAGCTGCACGAGCAAGGATATTTATTAAAAGGGAAAAGACTGTTGTCTAATTTTGTTTTCTTTTGTACAAAGTCGTCTAATTCTTAAGCCGCAATCATGATGTTACAATACCTGTGAATCTTGCTCAGATGCTAGCTTTTGGTCTGTAGTTGCCATCAACAGAGTTCGGAGGAACATTATAGCTTCTGGACAGAACTTTCGAGATTGCTTGGTGAACTAAAAAATGCCAAATTTATCATGTTATTAAGTGCAGATATAATAGTTGTGGCAATGACCTGGTTCAAATCTTGCTTTACAAGTTAGGGATTTTAAGAAAATAAGTAAAGGCTAAGATGAACGTATATGAATAAATATTACAGAAGTACGTCGTAACACAAGATTACATCAGCATGATTTTAAAGTGAAAACTGGTTTTTATGAGTTCACGAAGCAAAAAGAGATCACTATCTAGGATGTCATAAGGTATGTCTTAGAAGAAACTTTTGTAACGCCATTAATAAATTGCTTTACAGAGAATGAATCATGAATATTAAAACATAGGCTATCATTTTTCCTACAAGACAAGTTCGTACATAGAGTGAAAAGGATAAACATGTGCATACCATGAGAATCATGGAACATAAAAATGAACCAATAACGACATCTCGACCCAAAGTTATGGGACAACGCATCAAATACTCGCACATCAGTAATAGTGCCGGAGTTGTGACTACATGACGATAGTCAGAGCATGGAAAAATCATGGACCATAACCTCAGGAGAAACAATGTTTTCAAGGTAGGCCAGCATCCACTTTCTGCAATATATATATATCCTTTTAGGAAATCTGAAAAAGACTAAGCTAGAGATAATAAAGTTAGGATAGTGACAAATAATCAAGCTATCACACACCTTGGTTCTTGAGAGCCTCACAAAATTGTATGCGAGTTCGTAAGATTCGTTCACGAGCACATATTGCAGAGAAAAATGGAATCTCCATACTCATCTCCAGTAGCGGCTTGACAAGCAAATTCGATAACTCAAAATTCAAGGGCTTTTTATTTGCTAACACAGCAAAATATTGCAAAAGAACACCATAAAAAACCTGGTAAATAGAATATATATCAGTTTTAAATGAATGGTGTCAATCACAAAATTAGTAGCTTATTAGAATACCATATAACTACTAGGAAATTAAGGTTCATACTGTAAACATAGGTTATAGGCAATAAAAAAATAACAATAGAACATAATTCAACAGTTTTTGTAAATCTAGTCCTTTTAAAGTCTACAAAGATGCACATGCAAACATAGACACACATGCACGCACACACAAAGGGTGATGCGCAGCTTACTTGCATTTTCTTCCGATTTTCAGCAGCAAGCTTAATTGCATTGCTCGCCCGAATTCGATTGATGATCACAACAACGTCATTATTAGAACAATTCAACAATAAAGAAGACAGTTCCTCTAAGCTCTTTGGAGCTTCAATTATAAAGGGAATGTCTGCTTTAGTTGAAGTATGTTTGACACCAGACTTGATTTTTTTTGCATCCACAGACTCGTCTTCCTTACTATTTTCACTTTTGTTTGATTTGTTATGGCCTCTTTTCTCCACATTTTCATCACCAATGGCCTCGTTATGTTCTTCATTATCTTCATCCTCATCCAAATCTGTAGCAACATCATCATCGTCACTCTGCTCCCAGTCCTTCAGAGAGAGAGTCTTTTCACACTCATTTTCATCTTCTTCAGATCCTTCATCTTCATCTGTATCTTCAGCACCTCTTGAATCTTCAGAAGCATCCTCATCTTCATTCTCAAAATTGTCTGCATCTTCTCTTCCAAGAATCTCATCAACCCAACCCCCTTTACTACCAGGCTCCTCATCTAGTGCAAAGGAGTCACCAAGATCATCTCCCGAGATAGCCCTTGGCCTCTGCACAGAATCTTTCACAGCATTTTCACCATCTTCATCACTAGAGTAATCCATTGATAACATCCTCTTTTGACGCTCTTCCTGAAATTTGTGGAATCTCATATAAATTATTAAGCAAACATTTGTAAAATTGAATATAATGTATATTGAAATGTATAATAATGATGATGGTGATAAATTCTATAGTTACCTAATCAAATAAAAAACTTTAAAATGCAAAAAAGTTTTAAATAACAATCTTATTTCCAACCAATAGAGCACAATATAAAGCCATGCTTTATGTGAATTTCCATTCCTCAGAGAAACTTCATCCTCTGTAACAGAGTGAATAGCTCACCCAATAAAATTATAGCACGCAAAAGCAAATACAATCAAAACAAGTAGTTGAGCTTTGACCAGAGATACCTCTAATCGCTCTAGTCGCTCCCTCTCCTCTTGAGCAATCTCCTCAGATGTCTTTGTCCTGTCTGATGGCCGAGCACGCATATCCAAAACCATCTCATTGACAAGTTTATCATAAGAATCAGGTTGTTCCTGACAGTAAAGAATAAGAAGAAGAAATTAATGCTTGATTTTGAATTTCCATCTACAGACGCCTTAATCTTATTTTGAAAAATGAAGAACCTTTCCCTCAAACTAAAAGCAAGAATATATTAGTGGTTGTGGTAAATATTAACAGTAGATGTTTATGCAACTCCAATCTACATTGTCATTGTATTTCCTAAACGGTCAAGAAAAATTGTAAGCTAAAGTAAGATATGAGGAAAAAAGAGCAAATAAATTGGAGGGGGGACAACATTGTATGGACTATGGCACTCATCTAGCATGGCTATTTTACTTTAATAAGGGCCAATCTAGAATCATAACTCAGTACCTGCTTAGAAGTTTCAGCTCTCTGTGTAGCGGGTATTTCTTCCTTTTTCACATGCTCATCTGGAATGCTCTTGTTCAAAAGAGCTTTCAAGGCATTCATCTTGGCTGGCTCGGTGAGGGACAATAAGACCTTGGACTGCACTAGGGATGTGAAGTCCTTATCTAATTCTTCCATCAGCTGTTCATTTTCTTCTTTATCTCTTGCTTTTTGTGCCTGGTACGACAGAAGAACAATAGAAAATCAGAGACCAGCAATTAAGACTCAATAACGATAAGGAAAAAAATAGAGCAACATTTATGGTGCATATGAATTTTAACCTTGAAAAACTTGCTCTTCAAAATAACCTCCTCCATTATTTCCTTCTTGGATTTGTGCTTCTGTGGAAAGAAAACCATCAATTTAAACCATGTTTTAACACTGCAAAGAAACATGCTCCATATAAATCCTATTGCTCCATTATTGTGGAGAGCAAAATCAAAATAAATCTCTTTTAAGAGCTCAACCACTGAAAACAGAAACCACACCTATTACGAAAGGGAAAATTACCCAAACAAATAAAGTTTTTCATATCATATTAAGACAAAAGTTATTACAGAATGTGAATATTGAAGGACATAGGAAAAAGGATTCTTTAGAAACTAAAGTTGATGTAGCTTGAATATCATCTTGCAAGAAATTGAATAACATTAGATTGCCGTACATGACCCTAAAGATGATAAGACCAAAGGTCCCAAATAAGACTGGAAAAACACTAATTTTGTGATTTTTCAACATGCCAGAGTCAATAACTAAAGGCTAATGCCTGGTCAAACAGCTAACCAAAGATTTTAGACTAGAACTGAACGAGCATTTGAATCTTCCTTTGTATAAAAAATATGCCATAACCATGATTACAGGATGAAAATAATTAAAACAAACTTAATTCTTTTATAAAAAATTGATACACTGGCCATAAAACATAACTATAAATGTCACTTAATGAAAGATAGGTCTTACATTTTCTTCTCCTTCCATCAAACCCCCTTCCGACAAACTCTGCACACCATGAACATTAAGTTGCTTTAAGATGGCTGGCCGTTCTAAAAAGGAGGAACAAATCATCAGTACATCAACACAGGTTCAAAAACAATCAAAAACAGGGGAAAATGCAGGGAAGATCGAAATAAGAAGAGAATCTTGGTCGGAAATTATTCATATAAAGAATAAAGATTGGAATGTGCATACACAAAATGGAACACCCACCAGAATACGCAGATGTTACATGATAAAGCAATATACTAAAAGAACTAAGTAGATGACAAGCTTATGCTAAACTAAATTACCGTGCTTGCCCGCATCAATAACAAAAGCTAGATTGAAGCTTATCAATGCTGGAAACCAAGTTAGTAAGATCATTTTTCTTGGTTTTTTTTACATTGAACTAGTCTACATTAAGGAAGAAAGCAAAATTTTTGCTTGAGGCTGAAGTCTTACAGACAAAAAAGCAGGAACTTTATTCACTTTTACTGATATGAAAAAGCAGATTAGTGAAAGATACATTGTTTGGGGAAAAAAAAGTTATTAGGAAATTGGATTATCGCAAATTATGATCTTAATGAAAGCAGAAGTCAAATCTTACTTTCATCATCTTCATTATCATCATCAGACAGCATTTCATTCTCAAAATCATCTCTCTCTGGAAGGGAACCAAGATCTTGAGCATCAAACTCATCTTCTTCTCCATCTGATAAATTGAACTTGCTCTTTTTGCCGAATTTTAACTACAGAATCAAATAAAATATCAAAATCATATAGACTTAACCCCATCAGCTATAGTATAAAATTATATAATTAACAAAGAGCTTCAATATTTCACCGAGCAGCAAGCAAAAAGGCACAAACTTTTATAAGCGACGGTAACGATGGTAATGATTATTAAACACCATCAAAATACACACATGCACACACTCACACATGTGCAACCAGTTGTTCTCTACGGTAGAACCAAAGCAGCTACAAGTAAAAATTACATTTAAAATAGAAATCAACCTGACGCTCACGTTGAGACCGCAAAATGCCCTTTTCAAACTCTCCCAAGTCATCATCTTGCTCCCCAATTCTCTTGTCCACAAAAACAGAAGACTTTGTGCTTTGCTCGTACTCTTTCAACAGCGTTTTCTTCCTCTAAATCAGCCCCAATAAATCGTATTAATACAGTAGGTAAACAAATATTTGGGAAAAGAGCTTGATTTCTGGGGTAGAGCTTTTTACCTTTTGGATGGCTAGGGATCGAGCAAGGCCGATGCGGCGTTCTTCACCTTTGTGTTTCTTGCCGAGTATGTCAAACTTGCGGCGGGACCAGATGGTCTCGAAAGGGTTGGCTTTTGGAGCCTTGAGCTTCATGGAGATGGCATCTGGACCCGACTTCTTGGTGGCTTTCTTCTTGGTTTTGGCTTCCGCACTTGAATGCTTAGCCATAGCTCCCTCGTTCGGCTGTCGGAATTCAATGCCAAGGTCAAGAAACAAAGACAGGGTTTTTGCATCTTAAGGTTTTGGGTTTCGTAAGATATGGTTCATGGTGATGGGCTTTGGCTGGGACATTATCAGGGCCCTTGCTACGACTGATAATCTAATATCACTCCACCTTTTATTAGCTATAATTATTGATTTATTCTTTTATTGTATTAAAATTAATAAGTTATCTATCTTTTTCTATAATTATCGGTATCTGATCTATTAGTACATTAACCTGAATCGAATACTACAGAGGTAAAAGTAACATTTTCAACTCAGTTAACTTCATTCACAAACATCAAAATTTAAGCTCTTGACATTGTTTAAAAGATCTAATGTCTCATCCTATCAAATCAATGAGTTGTTGTCGATTACCTGATCTACTTTAATTTATCATAATTTATCCCTTGTATTTTGTGAAAATCTAAAATTTATCCGATTGAGTTTCAATTACCTTAAAGAAATGATAGAATCGAGTCCATTATAACGTTCTCTCGTAAAGAATTGAAAGTTTTATGCGCTACTTACACATTTTGAACATTGTTTATCTCTACTTCAAGTTGTATCACAATCTTATTATATATGTAATATATATACGAGATAATATTTAATTACACATTATAATTTTATTTTAGTTTTACATTAATTTAGGATTGTTGGATGAATGAAAATATATGGTTGAGATTAACTGTAGGAAATAAGAAGATATCTACTGAAAAATGAGTTAATCTTAGTAATATATTTTTAATCATCCTACGATCCTAGATCTGTGTAAAACTAGAAAAATATATGTGTAAATGAATCCTGACTATATATATATATGTGTGTGTGATTTAAAAAAAGAAAATCTTATCAATGATTTAAAAATATGGATAATTGCCAACCAAGTTATTGATGTATTTACAAAATGGAATCTAACCTTTGAGCACTCTTCCCTTTCTAGTTATATACTTTTTTTTTATTAAATTGAGTAACCATTTAATTAAAAATAGTAAAAATAAATATCTCCTTACAATTATACACTTTATAATTGTGGTTTGAGTTTCTTTTATAACTTTACTAAAGATTTGAGTAATATTACCTGCATATCCATATTCTAATTTTTTTTAATAATATTACAAATAAATTTGCTTAGGGTACGTTTGGTTCACGGAATGTAAGATTACCAGTTGAAATAAAAGATTACCAGGGAATAGGATTACTGGAATGTTACATTACTGTGTTTTGTTGGTTTGGCAAGAATGTAAGATTACAGTGTTTGGTTGAAGGAATAAAAGATTATTGGAATGTATATTTTACCAAATTGTTCTTGTTCTATATTTTTTAACAATTGAAATTCAAAATATTTAAATAAAAATTATTTATATAAAAATTCTATTTGTTGATAATATTACTTGAGTATTTAAATATATCATGTATTATCTTAATTTTAATTAATATTAAAATTTACATAATTTATGTAAAATATATTAAAATTTTACATCAACATTTAACTAAATGTTTACATTGTGAAAATTCTTCATAGACATTAATAATAGTGAAAAGATGTAAATTATTTTTGTTATCGAAGATATACTATTTATTATATCTTCTATATATAATAATTTATTTATTTATCTTTTATATTTATACTTAATTCTGCATACTTTATCATTATTATTTATCTCATGAATTTATATTACAAAAACATAATTCAAATAAGTAAGAAAATATAACACTAAAAATCGTATTGTCTATAATTTTATATTTCACTATCATCCATCATTATCTTTACTAATATTTTAATAAAATTATTAATACTCAGTTCTAATCTGATTTATACTTAACTCTTGATTACGAAAAGCAAGCAACCCAATAAAATTATTATTGAGTGTTCTTTCTTTGTTCTAGAATTGTGTAAACATCTTGTCTTGTGAGGTTTTTTCTGTAAATTTGCGAAATTTGTATTGTTCTCTTTGGGAGAGAGTGTTCTCAAGAATTTGTCGATCGATTAACTCAACACAAACCCTTGCAATGTCTTCCAAAAACAAGTGTTAATGAATAACCTAAACATTACAAGTCTAGCACCTTATCCAAAGTTGCGATACATATGGTAGGAGAATCATCGCAAGCAATCATAAATACAATAATATATAAAATCCAGACTTCCAATATCAACTACCGATTACGGGTGTAAACGAGCCGAGTCGAGCTCGAGTATTGTTGAGCTTGACTCGAACTCGAAAACTCGCGAGCTAAAAATTATCAAGCTCAGCTCGAACTCGAATATATTATTGAAACTCCACTCGAACTCGAAAAGGCTCAAATTCAAAAAATATTAAGAGCTCAATTGAAGCTCGAGACTCAAACTCGACTGAATCTCGATTTTAAACTCGATTCAAGCTCAATTTTAAGCTCGATTCAAGCTCGATTTTGAGCTCGATTCAAGCTCGATTTTGAGCTCGATTCAAGCTCGACGGGTTTTAATTTCATTTGCTGAAACCCTTCCCCCTTTTATACACTGACTTTACCCCTTATTCCCCAAAAACCACCGATATGGGATATTAACTTTTCATCTTAGCTTATCTTACCTTCAAAGCAAGGCCACTCTTCATCCTCATCATCGGGCAGCCATAGATTTCTTCAAAAGAAACCACACATTCATCTCCCCAAGATCTTTGCTTTAGGCCCACTTCTCCATCGCCGTGAGCTCAAGCACTGGAAAACTGCTTTACTTTCCCTTTGCCAACATCATCTTTCTATCTTCTTTTCTTCTTTAAATTTCCAGAAATAGACTGCAAGATTTGTTCATATTTTTGGTTCAATGTACTTTGTTGTGTCCTTTCTGGGGATGAATAGCAGCTCATCTGTCCAACCATTTGTTGCCACAGAGAGGGATGTTATGTACCGAGAAAGATTTGCAGGGATGTACTCTTCTTAGGCTTATGCACTAGCACAGGTACGTTCTCTTACGCATCATAAGTTAAAATGAACTTTTTTATTTTCTCTCTTTGAGCTAAGTTGCTAGTTTTCTGGGTTCTCGATAAAGCTTATAGTAAATAAGGAGGGTGTAAATATTCTACAGGTGACAGTTGAGGTACCCTATCTATTTATCCAAACTTTGTTGTTTGAAATGATCGCATATCCCATGATTGGCTATTATGGATCAACATATAAGGTTTGTGGTACTTCTATGCCATCTTCTGCACACAGCTCTACTTCACCTTCTTTGGAATGTTGTTTGTGTCATTGACACCGGAAGTCACAATAGTTGGAGCTTTATCATCGTTCTTCTATTTGTTGCTTTATCTTTTCTCCAACTTTCTGATGTCTAAACCGGTAAGCTATTACTATTAGAAATAATTTGGTATGATGAAAAGTGAATATGTTGAATTATACCTAGTATAATTGTGGTGTAGTATTCACGTAGCTGGTTATGTTATTATTTATCTGCAGAAACTCCCAAAGTGGTGGCTCTGGTTGTATTATCTAATGCCTACATCTTGGACATTGAATCGTTTCCTCACTTCACAATATGGAGATGTAAACGATGAGATTATGGTATTCGGTGAAATGAAGCCATGACAGTGGCCTCTGTGGTTGAAAACTATTTCGGGTTTCGCCATGACCGCTTACACATTACAGCTGTCGTTCTGATTTTGTATCCCCTAATTTTTGCAACCCTTTTCCCATATTTTCTTTCACGTTTGAACTTTTAGAAAAGGTGAATATGTCTGTCCCACAAGGATAAAAATTCTGTGCATAAATGAATTGTGTTCCCTTTGTACTGAATTGGGTTTCGTTGTCTACTCTTTGTTTGAGTTCTCACCATTCCATTGCTTGTTATAGTTTCTAGTCTTGAAGATGCTCTAATTTAATCAACCTTTAATTAAGAAATTGATCCGAACTAAAACCAAAATCCATGGATCCAAATGTATGGCCAAACATTTCAATTGATATGCATAGGTTTTGAGACATTTTATGGTGAAACAACCACTAGATTCAGACTTGGGGTCGAGACAAACGACTCATGAAATTTGGAATCGAATAGCCACCATCTACGATGGACCATCGTAGGATGTGTGAGCATTGTTAATTGATTAAGAAAATTTTAAACATAAATTACTTTATAACTATCCCAAATTCCACTTCCATTTTAAAACGCTTTAATTGTTTATAATTATATATATCATAATCCTATCATGTATTTACCTCGACTATTCATATGATTCAAACTCGTCATTTTCATTAAAAAATTGGTGATTGTATGATATTGATGTTAACATGTTTACTAGGGTATGATAAAATATGATCTCATCGTTTTAGTTGTATTTGTACATCAAATCTCCGTTTACATTATGTCGTCGAGTCAGTTCTTGAAATATTATGTTGGTGAGTTAGTGCTTGAAAGCAATGACAGTGTCGATAGTCATCATTAAGATATGATAAAATCATGTCTCAATCAGCAAGTTGTGTATATTTATTTTGCATGTTGATATGTTTATGTATAAGTATGCAAATGATTTATGTAGTAGTCACATAACATCATTTTGCATAATTTGTATGTTACCTTCATGTGCATAACTTAACCCCTATCACATAATCAGATTTAGGGTTTATAGTTTAGGATTTAGAGTTTAGGGTTTAAGATTCATTACAAATACATCATTTAATCGAATTGGTACCGATTTATGACGTAAGTACAATATAATATCTTGATATTAAATGCATTACAATATGGTTTAGTTGTATTATAGAATTTTTAATATATTTTTAAAATTTTATAATTATCAATAATGTATTTTTAATATATTTTTAATAATGTAATTTTAAAAAATCTAAAATTATAATATAACATTTTTTTCGAGCTTCTCACGAACTTTTCGAGTCGAATATCGAGTAGCTCGTTTCGGCTCGTTAAGAACTCGAGTCGAGCTCGAGTCGAGTCCATTCGATCAGAGTATTTATCGAGCCTTGATCGAGTCGATCTCGAGTAGCTCGCGATCTGTCTCGTTTCATTTACAGCACTGTTACCGATAAGTTGCGACACACATGAAAGCGATAACTGTTAACTATTAAAGACAAGGTTTTTACTACATAACAAAAACTATCAAAAGTAATAAACATATTCGAAAACTAGCACATTACTTGCAAGTCATATACTACATAAAAAAAATAAGTATAACATTAACCATCAAAAGTTTATACAATGTTCAGACTTACAAAAGATAATAGCCATGACATTCTAAACGTAATCATATATGTTGGCTATATTATATACACAAAAAATTCTTTAAGTCAAAAGATTGACATATACTTGGCTAAGCTACACAAAAAAGTTGGGACCATATTCATGTTATTCTCCGAAAACACTTCTGTTACAGTAGATGAAAACTTTGACATGACTTGATTAGGCCCCAGATTGTCATCCCCCGAGTCATTAGATGACCTGTGAGGCATGAATGAATATAAAGATCGTGAAAAATAACTACCTGAAACTAGTAAATAAATACGTGGAGAAACTAATGTTCAAAGTATGCAATTTGATTGAAGTAGAACCAATACCCTAAAAGAGCAGCTCCAACAGTTGGTGTAAAGTAATTATTTATCTCCATTCTGGAATTAGAAAGACCAGATACTGGAATAACAGTTGGTGTACTATACACAGGAGGGCCTAAAACAATAGCATAGAACATAAGAGGTGCGCATACCAATATTTAGATCATAAGAGGTGTGCAACTATAAAATCTCACAGGGTACTCTTAAGGCCTAAAAATTTCAATTGAAAACTTAAATATTTATCAACAACAAATTGTCAGACAACCAATTCCAAACAATCCACATACTAACTCTACATACATCTAAATCAAACTATAATTCAGAGACAAACTTGTCTACGTTTGATAAACATTTCAATCTTCAAAGGTTTCACATTTTTCAACACATCAATAGAGGCTAAAGTAAGAGTTAATATAAGGTGATCAATCCTAAAGCAATTAACCACTCAGTGCTCGATATTTGTACCAGGGGGAGATCTTGCACATGGATCTGATCGAGGAGCCACGGCTACTGTTTTAGTTGCATTAGCATGAGGGATCATAGGCATTGATGCAATGGCACTCGCATTGTAAGCGTTCATTACACTTTGCATTCCTTGCAAAAGAGACTGAACCCTGCATTTTTCTTACTCCAAACAAGCTCTTTCCTGCTCTACAAGAACCTTTTGTTCTTTCAAACAAATATACTCGTCTAACATCGCCCCTAAACTTAGCAAACTCTTCGGCGCCTATAGCAAAAAAAGAAAGAGAATAATAATTAAAAATTAAGTATATAAACAACAATTTTTAAAATTAATGAATTCGACTAATTGGGTGTCTACCTCTCGAACAGGGGATTTGGAGATGAGAGAAGAAGCTTTGTTTCTGAAAGTGGAACAAGTGTCGGAGTAGTTGTTATCGGAAAGGTAACGATCGACGATGAATGCGACTTGGACTAGAGTGACTTTCCCTTTACCCAGATTCTCTGGCTTCTTGGATTTGCTTTGCTTCCCCATTTCTCTATTTGGAAGTGAAAGGCAAGACGGTGATAGAAGAACGATAAAGGGGATGTATAAGAACCCTAACTTGAAAGTATTTTTCTAAAAAAATGGGTTCGACCAAATAATACTAGATTAAAATAAACCCTTACCTGAAATCATTTTTCTGAAAAAATTAAACAAGTAAAAAATTGTAAAGAAAGGGAGAGGAGAAGAAATCTTATCAGGAGTTTTGTGTAAATTTTTCGCAGAGGCAATCTCATAGGAAAAAGAAGATATCGCAAAGGCAAACGGGAAAAGAATGATATTTTAGCCTTTAGCACACGGGAATAAAAGAATACCTAACATGTGTGTGAGAATAACATTCCCAGGAATAAACACAATATTTATCGTTGGGAAAGAAATATTACCCTCATTGTGAATCTTACCCAACCAAATATGGGTACTTAATCTGAAAAAAAATATGCTTGCAATGAGTTATTAAATACTTGATCCATACGGGGCATTAGTTGAACTATCAATCCAAACTTAATAATTTGAGTTAGTTTGAGTAAAAAATAAACCCCAAAGGGACTGCCCCTGTTCACACAATCCAAAACTTGATAATTAGCCGCTAAAACAAAGCATTCTTATACATACATACATACATATATAGTAGCATTTTCAAGCAGCAAAGAATCCTAGATGGTAAATAGGTTGAAGGGTAAGGTCAAGTTGATTCCTCCTCACACGAGTTGCTTCTTCCTGGTACGTGCTTCTGCATCGCAAAATTGTAGAAGCGGTCACCATCTGACTCTACTTTTGTGTTTTAAAGATAACACATTGGAGGCATAGCTTTATGAGATAGAACAAGTGTTACCCGATATTCCGACAAGGATGCGGCTGAGGCAGCAGAAAAGATGATGTGTTGAGCCCATGATCTTGCTGCTCGCTCTTCTTTATCTGCAATTTCCATCACAAACTCTTTATTTATATCTGCTCTTAAATATATGCATATAATGTTGGATCATAAACTTGATCCATTATGGGAGCCTAAACCCAAACCCAAACTAAATTGATGTCATTACTTACATCATTTAATTAAAGATGTCATTGCTTACATCATTTAATTAATGATGTCATTGCTTACATCAATTTAGTTAGGTGAGAGTTAGATATTTGTTGAATTTGTAATGGTTTAAATTAGTTTATTTGTGTGGTGTAGGATTGTTCTTGAGTAGTATAAATACCCCTTCCCATTTTAGTTTTAAGCATCAAGAAAAATTAAGAGCTTCTAAGTGAGTGAAGAAGCAAAGTCTTATAAGAGTGAGTTGTAGTTCTTGTTTTTGAGTGAGAGTACTCTTGTAATATTTGTTTGAGTTTCAATAAAAGTTGTTTGTGTGAGTGTTTTATTTCCAACATAGTGGTATCAGAGCGAGTTGGAAAGATCGAAGGTCTCGACAAGAGGAATACGACGCCGCCAGAATTTTCTCAATCTGAGTTCTGACGCACCGCCACGCACCGCCGGAAGACTGCTGCCAAAAAAAAATCGAGTTGACTCACCGAGTTGAGCCGATTCAGCCGAGTTGGAGCCCTTGACCGAGTTGTCCAAGTCCCTCCAAAGTTTTTTTTCATCGTTCCGGATTCATCCCTGCAATCGGATTTTACAAAATCTCATTATATTGAGAGATATGGCAAATGGTATGGCACCATTCCAAGTTCCGACACTCAACAACAACAACTACGACAATTGGAGTATCAAATGAAGGCACTTCTTGGATCACAAGATGTGGGATATCATAGAGAAAGGCTATAATGAGCCTGCGGATGATGATGTTTTTGCTACTCTTACACCAGATCAAAAGACAACTTTGAAGGATTCAAGAAAGAGAGACAAGAAGGCTCTCTACCTCATCTATCAAGCATTAGATGATGATGGTTTTGAAAAGATTTCAAGTGCAAGCTCTAGCAAGGAAGCGTGGGAGAAGCTGCAAACCTCTTACAAAGGATCCGAGCAAGTGAAGAAGGTTCGTCTCCAAACATTAAGAGGTGAATTCGAATCCTTAAACATGAAAGCATCTGAGTCTATTTCAGATTATTTCTCAAGAGTAGTAGCTGTTTCTAATCAATTAAAAAGAAATGGTGAAAAGTTAGACGATGTGAGGATAATAGAGAAGATACTCCGTTCGTTGGATCCCAAATTTGAGCACATCGTCGTGACGATTGAAGAAACTAAAGACTTGGAAGAAATGAAGATCGAACAGCTCCAAGGATCATTGCAAGCATACGAAGAGAAGCATAAAAAGAAGCATGAGTTTACTGAGCAACTCCTCAAGCTGCAACTCAAGGATATTCATGAGAGCCAACACAATGATAGAAACCAACGTGGCCAAGGCAGAGGTAGAGGCCATGGACGAGGTGGAAGTCGAGGTCGTGGACGAGGCTGGAATTACAACAATAACAATTCCAACAACAACTATGAGAAAGGAGAAAGCTCAACACGAGGCCGTGGAAGAATTAATCCAAACTCAAAGTATGACAAATCTCAAATTCGATGTTATAATTGTCAAAAATTTGGGCATTATGCTTCAGAATGTAGAGCTCCCAACAACAAAATTGAGGAGAAGGTCAATTACGTGGAGGAAAAGACAGATGGCAAAGAAACTCTTCTTCTAGCACGAAAGGAAACTGATGGTGGCCAAGCAAATTCCTGGTATCTTGACAGTGGTGCAAGCAATCACATGTGTGGAAGGAAAGACATGTTTGTGAAGCTAGACGAGTCAGTAAGTGGAAATGTTTCGTTTGGAGATGATTCCACAATAGCAGTGAAAGGGAGAGGTAACATTCTTATCCGTTTGAAAGATGGGAGACATCAATTTATTTCAAATGTCTACTATGTGCCCAATATGAAAAGTAACATTTTAAGTTTAGGGCAACTGGTAGAGAAAGGTTATGATATTCATATGAATAATTATAATCTTTCTATAAAAGATGATAAGAATAACTTCATTGCTAAAGTGCCGATGTCAAAGAATAGAATGTTCTTGATCAACATACAAATGATGTTGCAAAGTGCCTGAAAGCTTGCTACAAAGATGCATCATGGCTTTGGCATCTTCGATTTGGGCATCTCAATTTTGGAGGTCTAGAGCTATTATCTAAGAAGGAGATGGTGAAAGGACTACCTCACATCAACCATCCTGACCAACTCTGTGAAGGGTGTCTAGTCGGAAAACAATTCAGGAAAAGCTTTCCAAAGGAGTCAGAGACAAGAGCTAAGAAGCCACTTGAGCTCATCCATACCGATGTGTGTGGACCGATCAAGCCAAGTTCTCTCGGTAACAATAACTATTTTCTTCTCTTCATTGATGATTTTTCAAGAAAAACCTGGGTATATTTCTTGAAACAGAAGTCAGAAGTTTTGAAGTATTCAAGAAGTTCAAAGCAGCAGTGGAGAGAGAAAGTGGTAGAAAGATCAAAGCCATGAGATCCGATCGAGGTGGAGAATTTACTTCCAGGGAGTTTCAAGAGTTCTGTGAAGCAAATGGAATTCGTCGACCAATGACAGTTCCTAGATCCCCCCAGCAAAATGGTGTGGCAGAAAGAAAGAATAGAACAATCCTCGACATGGCACGAAGCATGCTCAAAAGCAAGAAACTACCCAAAGAATTTTGGGCGGAAGCAGTATCGTGTGCAGTCTACTTGTCAAATCGATCTCCAACAAGAAGTGTATGGGGAAAGACACCGCAAGAGGCATGGAGTGGAAGAAAGCCTGGCATTTCCCACTTGAGAACCTTTGGAAGTATAGCCCATGTTCACGTACCAGACGAGAGAAGAACGAAGCCTGATGATAAAAGCGAGAGTTTTATCTTCATCGGCTATGATGCTAATTCGAAGGGCTACAAGTTGTACAATCCAGACAATAAGAAGTTTGTGATTAGTCGAGATGTGGTCTTCAACGAAGAAGGAGAATGGGATTTTAACTCCCATACAGATGACTTCAATTTCTTTCCTCAGTTTGAAGAAGATGAGCAGACAATGAGGGAGCAACTAGATGAATCTCAACAAGAGCTTGAAACTCCACCCACTTCACCAACATCAACCACTCAAGGAGACTCATCACCTTCATCATCGTCAAGTGGGAGTCAAAGTGAAAGAGTTATGCAACGCACAAGAAGCCTTAGAGATCTCTATGAGGTAACTGAACGACAAGATAATCTTACATTATTTTGTCTGTTTGCCGATTGTGAACCAGTGAGCTTTCAAGAAGCGGTACAAGAAAAGAAATGGAGAGATGCGATGGACGAAGAAATCAAGGCCATCGAGAAGAATGACACATGGGAACTTACCTCACTTCCCAAGGGACATAAGGCGATAGGTGTCAAATGGGTGTACAAAACAAAGCAAAACGCCAAAGGAGAGATTGAAAGGCACAAGGCGAGGCTAGTTGCTAAAGGCTATAGTCAAAAGGCTGGAATTGACTATGATGAGGTATTTGCTCCTGTTGCTCGATTGGAGACTATCAGACTAATCATTTCTTTGGCAGCTCAAAACAAGTGGAAGATACAACAGATGGATGTAAAGTCCGCCTTCCTAAATGGAGTTCTTGAAGAGGAACTTTACATTCAGCAACCATCAGGCTATGAAGTCAAAGGGCATGAAGACAAGGTGTTGAAGTTGAAGAAGACTCTTTACGGGCTAAAACAAGCACCAAGGGCATGGAATAGCCGAATCGACAAGTACTTCCAAGAGAATGGCTTCAACAAATGTCCCTACGAGCATGCTCTATATATCAAGATCAAAGATGAAGATATTTTGATCGTGTGCCTCTACGTGGACGATTTGATCTTCACTGGAAGCAACCCAAGCATGTTTAATGAATTCAAGGATGTGATGATGAAAGAATTCGAGATGACAGACATGGGGCTCATGGCGTACTACCTTGGCATTGAAGTTAAGCAACAAAATGATGGAATTTTCATTTCACAGGAAAGCTATGCAAAGGAGATACTGAAGAAGTTCAAGATGGAGAACTGTAAGCCAATAAGCACACCGGCAGAATACGGGATCAAGATGACCAAACATGAAGAAGGCGAAAGTGTAGATCCAACATTCTTCAAAAGTTTGGTAGGAAGTCTACGCTATCTAACTTGCACGAGACCCGATATTCTTCACGCAGTTGGATTGGTTAGTCGCTACATGGAATCCCCAACAACCACCCATTTAAAGCCGCAAAGAGAATTCTTCGCTATCTGAAAGGTACAATTGACTTTGGCTTGTTCTATTCAGTTTCTAATGATTACAAGCTTGTTGGATATAGCGACAGTGATTGGGGTGGAGACATAGATAATCGAAGGAGCACTACTGGATTCGTATTTTTCATGGGAGATATTGCATTCACATGGATGTCAAAAAACAACCGATTGTCACATTATCCACTTGTGAAGCGGAATATGTTGCTGCTACCTCATGTGTTTGTCATGCAATTTGGCTTAGAAATCTATTGAAGGAGATTGGTTTGATACAAGAAGAGCCTACCAAGGTTTGTGTCGACAACAAGTCAGCCATTGCCTTAGCGAAGAATCCAGTATTCCATGATCGAAGCAAGCACATTGATATTCGCTACCACTATATAAGGGAGTGTGTTGCAAGAAAAGATGTGGAAGTTGAATATGTGAAGTCACAAGATCAAGTTGCTGATATTTTTACCAAGCCTCTGACCAGCGAAGACTTCTTAAGATTAAGGAACCTACTAGGGGTCACGAGATCAAGTTTAAGGGAGGGTGTTGGATCATAAACTTGATCCATTATGGGAGCCTAAACCCAAACCCAAACTAAATTGATGTCATTACTTACATCATTTAATTAAAGATGTCATTGCTTACATCATTTAATTAATGATGTCATTGCTTACATCAATTTAGTTAGGTGAGAGTTAGATATTTGTTGAATTTGTAATGGTTTAAATTAGTTTATTTGTGTGGTGTAGGATTGTTCTTGAGTAGTATAAATACCCCTTCCCATTTTAGTTTTAAGCATCAAGAAAAATTAAGAGCTTCTAAGTGAGTGAAGAAGCAAAGTCTTATAAGAGTGAGTTGTAGTTCTTGTTTTTGAGTGAGAGTACTCTTGTAATATTTGTTTGAGTTTCAATAAAAGTTGTTTGTGTGAGTGTTTTATTTCCAACATATAATTTTGTATTTTTCTGGAATTATTTCCAAAAACAAACACATATAGGTTAACATTTGATTTGATGTATTCACACAGTAACAGGTATAACTTCACATACTAATATGCAGTGTCTGTGTCTATAAGTTTTGCTAGCAAAGTATGGGACCAGAAAGATGAAATTCACCTGCTTTGCTAGCATGGCGTTTTGCTCCTGTATCACCTTCTCCTGTAGTAAAGTTTTTTTTTTTGTAATGGTATATATAAGTCAATGAATAAATACATAGATACATGATTGACAAGCAAATCATATGTATTGAGAGGCTTTACTTTTCTCTGAGGATCCGAGATTGACTCGCAGATGAGTTGGTTCTGCAAAAACCCTAATTTCATTATTAGAACAACAATAAGACAGTTCCAATTGAAGGGAACAAAAACAAGAAGACAAAAGGTGTTAGAAAGGCACATCGAATGTGTTTAAGAGCAGTATCAAGCTGCAGTTCCAAGTTCTGTAGCTCCTTGAGACTCACTGAGTCTAAATCTTCTCCCGTATAGTGCCTGAACAGTTTTTAAGAATTGAGATGGAAGTAGCAATCTTTAAGAATGAAACCATCGCTCTTTCACTAATGTATGTATTATCCTATATTACTCCCACTGTCCAACACTCAAAATATTTCATATCGTACAAATGATTGGTTTACGTTTCTAGGGTTTATCATTTTTTTAAACATTAGTATCTCTCATCTGTATGATTGTATCCAACACAACTGTTCAGGCAATAATTTATATATGATACATTCTTCTAAATTATGGGAAAAAGAGAACAAATTGAATAAAATTATGTTAAACATATATTCGAATCCAACACTAACCCGAGTTCTGATAACATAATGTATAATGTAAGTAGTACCTGTGATTTTTCTGCAAGAGCTCAACCTTAGCTTTAAGTCTGTTATACTCCATGCACCAGTTGCCCTGCAGATCAGTTGCCACAACATTAACACCTTTTTGTTGCCAATTACTATACACATAAATAAATACCTGAGGTTGACACTCCGTAGCAACAAGCTGTCTCTCAGCATAAGAATATCTTTCATAGCGTTCAAGTATCTTCTCCATGCTGAATAACGTGCAGAAAATACAAATGTAAATATTAAAGAAAATTATTGGATTGTTTTAATCAAATAATATCATGAAAAATATAAACAAATTAATTAAGATTTACTCTTTCTGTGTATACAACTATTTGTTATTACTCTTACGAATAATATGTTTTAAAATATCCAAATTCATTATTAATTTATTCATAAGATGCAAAAATATGTACTTATAACTAGAATTAAACTTAATTCTCTTAAAGAATAAAGAATTTATATAATCTTCGTTACGAGTCTACTACATATACTTACATTTGTAAATAGATCTTAGTCATGTATTAATTAATTGAATCAATCCTATTTAATTCAATGAAAGAGTAACACTATGGTATGACGTAAGTCAACCGTTTAAATCTGGTAAAGGGATTTTTTTTTACCATTTTTCAATAAACTCCAATAAAATAGAAGTATTCATATTGAAACTAATAATAGAGATGTTTTATTGGTAATAAAATACCAATTGTATATATATAATAATTTAATTAGAAATTATATAGTTTAACCCTAATAAGTTATCATTCTTCTAATTTAAAGTAGATTTATTGATGTTCTAATTCAATCAGAGGAGCAAAGGGCTACCAAGAAGGTAAAGAATCGGGAGTTAGAGAATGAACAGAGTGAAACGGATCAATCTGCGGCGAGCATGCAAGCGGATGATGATGTTCAGGGTGTAACAGCCATGAACAAATATTACTCTAAGATTACTGAGAAGTTATCTTATGTTGCAATGACCGCTGGAATATCCTAAAATAAGATTCTTTAATAGGATACATGAGTTGGTAGATTGTAATATGAAACAAGTTATCATTACTAGGCTGTTAGGAACAAAGATAGGCTACAAAGCTCTCATAAACAGAATTTACACGTTATGGACTTATGTGGGCAACTTCAATTTGATAGATCTTGACAACGATTATTTCTTAGTGAAATTCGAGAATCTTGATGATTATAATAGAGTGCTTACTGATGGCCCATTGATGATATATGGGAGCTACTTGGCAGTGCAACCATGGTCGAAAGGTTTCACCACCGCTGAAAAACACCCATCGCAGGTTATTGCTTGTATTCACCTCCCTGGTCTGTCGTATAGATATTACTCTAAAATGTCGATTAGGACAATTGCTAACTCTATTGGAAGAGTTATCAAAATTGATTACAATACTAAAGTCGGGGAGAGAGGTAAGTTCGATAGAATTGTGGTCGTCATCGATTTGAATAAACCTCTTGTTCCGTGCATGGGGATCGATGACTTCGTTCAAAGATCGAATACAAGGGGTTGTAACAAATTTGTTTTAAATGCGAAACTTATGGTCATGCAAAAGAAACTTGCAAAACCAACCAAGAGGAAGCACCTATGGAAGTGACCAACACTAGTCAATAAAAAGTTGAACATTCAGTGTTAGAGAACAATAAAGAAAACCCTTTTGGTCCTTGGATGGTTGTGCAACTAAGAGTAAGGAAAGAAAGAAACCATAAACTCCAAAGCAAGAACAAGGAAGAAGGGCGAAAACCAAACCAGGGTTCTAGGTTTACACCGCTTCAAGAGGAAAACAATGGAAGAAGATCCCTAGGGTAATACCGAGAAAAACCAACATTCCACTAGTGGTACTGGAATGCAAAAGTCTCTTACGAGGATACCAATTTGATTTATGTCCCTATTGAGGATGGGGAACCGGCGGAAAAAGATGATCATACTAGTATGCTCAGGATTGGAGAAGTTCAAATTACGGCTAGTGAGGCTGCTTAGGTTAGTGAACATAGGTTAGCTTTGGGAACTGGGTCCCACACTGCAATCTTCATTCAAAATGATGACATTATTCGTAGCCAGGCCACAAGATGGAGAATCAATAGGAAATCCAACCTTAACTCTCGTATTACCGAGAAAGGTCTTAAAGTTAAAAAAAACTAAAGAGCCAATCACGTCTAACGTTCCTCTTTTATAAGAATGGTTCCAAAGTAAATCTACGAATTCTGAGAATTTGCCCCCCCCCCCCCGATAGTATGAGCCAAGGTATAAGCCAAGACCAGCCCGTGGAGCAGAATGATTAGATACAGACCCTTGGAAATGAAATGGTCGAATAGGGGATGATGAGTAGAGACAACCTCAATAACTATTAAAATGAATATTATGTTCTGGAACACTCAAGGGGTTATTAAACCCTCATTTAGGAGATATTTCAGAGATTTTGTGAAGAATCACAAGCCTAAGATTATAACTCTGTTTGAAACCCATACAAGTGGAAGGAAAACAGACAAGGTTATCAATAATCTGGGGTATAGCAACTTATTCAGAATTGAAGCTTAGGGGTTTAGTAGAGGCATTTGGGGTGTTATAGGACAATTAAGTAGAGGTTAAGATGCGAAATATCTCCAATCAGTATGCCCTTGTAAGATATAAACTCAAGAACAGTAGCCGATGAAGTTATTTCACTACGGTATATGCCAGCCCTCATTCCTTCATTCGTAGTAAGCTATGGGGGGCGCCACTCTAAGATTAAGCCTCAGAACAGTGATCCTTGGATCCTCGGGGGTTATTTTAACTGTATTTTGAAGCCCGAAGATAGGCTTGGAGGAAGCAGACTGTATAGATGATGGAGTAGAATTTTCCAGGATTATGTTTTGGATAATGATTTGATGGATGTTAGTTATCGCGGTGAGGATTTCACTTGGCGTCAGGGTAACCTCTAGCATCATCTAGATCGGTGTATTATGAATGCGAAGTAGTTGGAGTTATACCCGGATACTAGGGTGCACCACCTAGATCGTCTTGGATCTAATCACAGTCCTATCCTGATATATACTATTGGGGCTGCCTTACAAGCTTAGGCGTGCAATTATGGAATGCATCAGCACTACTTCGACCCAAATAACTTGGAATGAGGAGTTTACTGATTCTTTCAGACCATCTAGGGGTTTTAGGTAGGGTGACCCAATTTCGCCTTACCTTTTCGTGCTCCGCATGGAGAGGTTAGCTCAAGTTATCTCATTGGAAGTGGAACAAGGAATATGGAAACCGATCAAACTCACTCCAAGTGACCCAGCCATATCACACCACTTTTTCGCCGATGATCTCATTCTCTTTACGGAGGCTGATATTTCTCAAGTCGATGTTGTAAAGTCAAAAAAAGTGGGTGGGGGTATGGTTTTTCTACAAAGCCAGTAGCCTTTTTCAACAAAGGGGCACCGATCGGTGCCCCAATTTTTTAATTAAAATGTAAATTGGTTAATTACACGTTAGTCATTGCACTTTAGGGTATTTTCAAAAATTAGTCCCTACGCTTCAACTATAAATACCCTAACCCATTTAGCTTCAAAATCATCCCAAAATCCTAAATCATTTCTTTCTCCCAATACTAGAGAGCTTTCTTGTGAGTAGTGAGTGTTTTGTAAACACCTATAAATTTTCTCTCATAGTAAAAGATATGCAGCAGTCCGGAGACGTAGGCAAAATTAGCTTAACTCCATTATCAATTTCAGGTATTATTTTTCCGCTTTTATTTCGCATTCTCACTAATCTGATTATAAGAAAATTACTCGTATTCGGTTTATTTCCCAACAACTGGTATCAGAGCTTTTGGTTGTGAATTTTGTTATTTTTTTGCGAGGTTACTATTTATTACTATTCATATGAATAGTGAATTTCGTGAATAGTGAAATTTTGTCGACGATACAAATTTGTCGACGGAGGTATTCTAATACACGGTGGTTCAAAAGAATTTTAAAAAACGATCCAAACGAAGCCAGATTCGATTGGGAGCGATGGCTGCAGACTTTGGCTTTTGGAAGATGCAGATTGAAGATTTTCTGTACCAAAAAAATCTATATCAACCTCTCTCAGGAAAGCAACCAGAGGGCATGAAGAATGAAGACTAGGCTCTTCTCGACAGACAAGCCCTCAAAGTTATCCGACTAACGTTATCCTGCAATGTTGCTTTCAACATAGCAAAGGAAAATACTACGGAGGGTCTTATGGCAGCTCCCTCCAGTATGTATGAGAAGCCATCGGCCTCAAACAAAGTGCACTTGATGAGACGATTATTCAATTTGCGGATGGCGGAAGGGGCATCAGTGGCTAAACACCTAAATAAACTCAACACAATTACAACCCAGTTGAGTTCCATGGAAATTGAATTCGATGATGAAGTTCGAGCTTTAATTATCTTATCATCTCTACCAGACAGTTGGAATGATATTGTTACGGCACTTAGCAGCTCGTCGGGAAACAACAAATTAAAATTCGACGATGTTCAGGATCTGGTATTGAGCGAAGAAATTCGACGGAGAGAATCGGGTGAACCATCAACTTCCTTAGCCTTGCACACAGAGTCCAGAGGAAGAACTTCAGAAAGATATTCAAATCGTGGCAGATCCAAATCCAGAAGGGGAAAATCAAGAACGGGAAATAAAGATTTTACTTGTTATAACTGCGGCAAAAAGGGTCACTTTAAAAGAGATTGCCGAGCACCGAAGAAAAATACTGACGCACAGGAATATGCCCACATGATAAAGAAGATAGGTGATGCTATGATTCTAAGCGTCAACAGTCCGATTGAATCATGGATATTGGATTCATGGGCATCTTTCCACTCCACCCCATGCCGAGAAATCATGGAGAATTATGTCAGTGGTGATTTTGGGAAGGTTCATCTAGCTGATGATGAAACCTTGAAGATCGTCGGAAAAAGAGACATCCGATTAAAGTTGCCAAACCAGACCACCTGGAAGCTGAAAGGAGTGAGACATATTCCTAGCCTCAAAAGAAATTTGATTTCTGTAGGACAGCTTAATGGAGAAGGTTATAGAACAACCTTTTCAGGCTGTGGATGGAAGATTACCAAAAGAGCACTCATCATTGCTCGTGGTAAGAAGACTGATACTCTCTATGTAACCTCAAATTTAGAGAATATCATTACAACAGCATATGATGATGGAAAATCAAACCTATTGCACCAAAGGCTTGGC